TACAGAAAAAACGTAGCTGAGTGGTGGTGGCGCATGCCTGTAGTACCAGCTACTCGGGGAGGTGAGCAGGAGGATCGCGCTGAGCCCAGGAGTTTGAGGTTGCTGTGAGCTAGGCTGACGCCACAGCACTCTAGCCCAGGCAACAGAGTAAGACTGTCTCAAAAAAAAAAAAAAAAAAAAAAAAGAAAGACGTGATAGAATTTGAAGAACAAAGGGAAAGACACCACATTTCAAACTGGGTGTTTTACCAAAGGGCACAAAAGAAAGGCTGGCTGGCAGTCTGGATAACACAGCAAGACAAAACTTTTCTTAGAAATATTTTTTATAAACATTTTTTTTAAGAAAATTAGCCAGGTGCGGTTGCACATGCCTGTAGTTCCAGCTACTTGAGAGGCTGAGGGAGGAGGATCGCTGGACCCCATGAGGCCTTGTTCTTACAGGAGGCTGCAGTGAGCTACGATGGAGAGTGCCACTGCACTCCAGCCCAGGCAATAGAGCGAGGTCCCATTACTAACAAAATTTAAGGAAGGAAGAAAAGAAAGGCTAGAAGGGAATACAATAAATGTTAGCGATGATTGTGTTCGAGGATTGTGTTAAGAGGGTTATAGATCCTTTTCCCCCTCTATTCTTTTTTTTTTTGTTTGTTTGTTTTTTTTTTTTTTGAGCTAGAGTCTCGCTTTGTTGTCCAGGCTAGAGTGAGTGCCGTGGCGTCAGCCTAGCTCACAGCAACCTCAAACTCCTGGGCTCGAGCGATCCTCCTGCCTCAGGCCTCCCGAGTAGCTGGGACTACAGGCATGCGCCACCATGCCCGGCTAATTTTTTTTTTATATATATATCAGTTGGCCAATTAATTTTTCTATTTATAGTAGAGACAGGGTCTTGCTCTGCTCAGGCTGGTTTTGAACTCCTGACTTGAGCAATCTGCCCGCCTCACGCCCCCAAGAGCTAGGATTACAGGCATGAGCACCGCGCTTGGCCTATTTCTTATTTTCAAAATTTTCTATAAGCTTTTCTTCAAAGGAGGCTGAGGCAGGAGGATCAGTTTGTTACCAAACAGCAAACCGCTGGAGCTGCGGTGAGATGGGGAGAGGTCCTCTCCGTCACGGGCCACCATCGTCCTTGTCCTCGCCACCAAGACGACGACCGTATCCAGGCTGCCTTCACAGACCAAAGATCACCTCCTTGAAAGCACTTGTGCGAGCTGCGGTGTCACAGCAACACACACCGGACGGCCTGCAGGACTCGCTGGCTCCAGGCGGGGCTGCCCACGCCCAGCCTTGTGCCGACAGGGCAGAGGACAGGGGAGGCAGGGACAGGCGGGGCAGGGGACAGGGACAGGGGACAGGGGCAGAAGGGGACAGGACAGGGGCAGGGGACAAGGGCAGGGGACAGGCAGTGACAGGGGGCAGGAGACAGAGGCAGGGGACAGGGGCAGGAGAGCAGCTCGGGTTTTCACCAGGAGGCATCTGCGGCAACCACCACACTCAGCTAGTTTTTTGTTTCTGTTTTTAATTGCTTAGCTAATTTTTTCTATTTTTAGTAGAGATGGGGTCTTACTCTTGCTCAGTCTGGTCTCAAACTCCTGAGCTCAAGCAATCCTCCTGCCTCAGCCTCCCAGAGTGCTAGGATGACAGGCGTGAGCCACCGGACACAGCCATGTTTAAGTCTTTAAAAACTATAACTCACTGCATCAAACTTTTAAAATTTAGTGTTATTGCATTGGAAGAGAGTGTCAGAAATGAAACCACAGGGGGGTCAGAAGGTGTGAACATTTTATCGGGATGGAGCATGAAAAGTTCTAAAGCTCTTGACACAGATCGACAACTTGTTTTTGCAAAGAATCCCCTGGCTGTCCGGCTGTCCTCCGGCCAGCGCCCGCGTGCGAATGCCCGTTCCCCAGCTGCTCGGGACGCGGCCCCCACCTTCCCTAGTGGGAGGCGGGGAGCTCGTTGGTCCTCTTTCATTCTCGTCTGCACGCCAGAGAAAATGTCCAAGGGGCACATGGGGGACCCATTCAGGGATCTACTCACACAAAGGGAGGGAACTTTCTCCCCACACTGAGCACGGTTCCACCCCGGGAGGGACGTGCCGTGCGGGTCCGATGACAGCTGCAGCGGGGGAGATGGAAGCCTCCTAGGGCGTGGAGAAGCCTCTCCCCGGGTGTTTCGGGGAGCCCATCTAGTCAGAGCAACCTGGCGGGGGTGGGGGTGGGGACCGGGTCCCAACAGCCTGGGAAGTGCCTCCTCTGTACCCGAGACCCGCCACACTCAGACCCAGAGGAGAGTCGGCCTCCCTATCCCCGAAACTCGGGGGCCTCGGCCGTGTACAACAGAACGATTTCGGGAGGGCCGAGACACAACCGAGCTCTCTGCCATCAAGGGGCCTGAACTGCGTCCTGCTGGCACAGGTGACCCCACTGTCTGCAAGCCTCGCCTCCCTCGGGGCAAAGGGGGGTGGGGTGGGGGATGCGCATAGATGCTCTGTCTGACAGGCTAACCTGGGAGCGGCTGACAGGTGGGGTCCAGGCGAGGTGTGATGTTCAACCTGCTCTAACCCACAGCCCCAAGTGCGCAAGAGAATGCAGCGGGGTTAGATGGGGGAGGGGCTGGACACCCCGAGAAAGGAGGCCAGTTTTCAGACCCGGACTGGCACGGAGGCACCCATCGGAGCGGGCACTGCCCCAGAGCCTGTGGCGTTGTCTGGCCAGGATCTGCCTCTCAAGAAGAGCAGAATCACTGAGTCCCTTTCCCCGTACTGAATGAAACGTCTTTAGGTCGAATCCTCCCAAATCAAAAGTATAAATAGTGAATTTCCACCCCCGCCGATAAAAAACGGCGAAGGATAAATTAGCGGCAGAAAACGGCTAATCCTGGCCAGGCTCGGTGGTTCACACCTGTAATCCCAGCACTCTGGGAGGCCGAGGCGGGAGGATGGCTCTAGGTCAGGAGTTCTGAGACCAGCCTGAGCAAGAGCGAGACCCCGTCTCTACTATAAATAGAAAGAAATTAATTGGCCAACTAAAAATGTATATATAGAAAAAATTAGCCGGGCATGGTGGCGCATGCCTGCAGTCCCAGCTACTCGGGAGGCTGAGGCAGGAGGATCGCTTGAGTCCAGGAGTTGGAGGTTGCTGTGAGCTAGGCTGACGCCACGGCACTCTAGCCTGGGCGACAGAGTGAGACTCTGTCTCAAAAAAAAAAAAAAAAAAAAATCCCCAGCTAATCCCAAACATTTGTACTGGAAGGTCTCAAAAGGGTAGGAAAAAAGGCCCAATATGTATTTGAAAATTGAAATGATACATGTCCTCTTTGAAGTGACACCTAGCTGGCAGTGCCCTTGCACCTTTTTTGTTTCCTTTCTTTAACCTTCAAAATGGGAAATGTCCTTAAAAATAATAAGAAGAAACAATTTGCTGCCCTCCTGTGGGGTCACAGTGCAGCTGGCCGTCACGGTCCCCGCATCCCCCAAGTCCTCGTCATCCTGAGGTCAACCCCAACTCCTGCGTTGAGTTCTGTCTGGCCCAGCGTGCCACCCCCTCCCTGCCGACACTCACTCCTGTCCCACTGCTCAAGCAACGCAAGCTGTCAGGCGAGGGCTGGCGAGTGTTTATTGAGAGGCGCACTCACACACCGGAGTCTGGGGCCCCGCTGAGCGGACGAGAATCCCACTGCCTGGCGCGGGATTTCAGGAGCCTCTGTCCAGAGGGAAGGCCGGAACGACTTTCCAGGTGAGTCCTGCAGCTTCGTGGGAGAGCGGAGAAGGGTCACCAGACACAAACCAGGGCGGGCCATCACTTGGGGAGAAATGTCCAGAGGAACGAATGGGGCGGCTCACTCCCTTTGGGGCTGGTCTCCACGGCTTTGGTGAGCTTTGGAAATGAAGCCTGGAATTGATGGTGCCCAACGACACAGTCGAGGCAGCTACAAAGACGATCCAGTACCCAGGGCTGTGGATCCCCATGTTCTCTAGAACGTTTTGGAGAGTGAGAGGGCCAGAGGGTCTGGCTTGAAGAAGGCGTTTCTCAGAAGGCACGGGCTGCAGTCGGGGACCAGAGGGGGCAGAGAAAGGAGTGGCCTCGGCCGGTGCTACTCTGGCTGAGGCAGAGAGGAAATCGGCTGCCCTCCTGTCTGGGGAGGCTGTGTGCCTGCTCCGTCTCACAGGGTCTCTCCGGGACTGGAGAAAATCAGCGCAGGCGCCGGCCGCGCTGAGCGAGCAGCTGGTCTGGGCAGCCCGGTTGGGGGTTCAATCAGCTCGGCCGGCGTGGGGAGCGCGGGCTGGAGCAGAACGGGCGCGGCCGGGAGCGCAGCCCCGGCCCGGCCTCCCCTCCCCTCGGCGCTGCGCTGCCGCCCACCTCCAGCTCCACCGGCGGGGCAGCGACCGGGTCAGCAGTTGCGGTCAGGGCCGGCCCCAGAACACGGAGCTGTCGTCCCTGGAGGGCGAGGAGGCGCCCGAGAGCGAGGAGCTGGCCCTGCGCGCCCGGCGCCCGGCGCGCCCACACGCCCCGCGGCGCGCGCGGGCTCGGAAGGAGCGGTCCAGCAGGAGGTAGATGAGCGGGTTGGCGCAGCTGTTGACGAAGGCCAGGCAGGTGGCGATGGTGAGGCCCCAGCGCAGCGCCAGCAGCAGGCGACAGGGCAGCGGCAGCGCCCCCAGCCGCGCCAGGTGGAAGACGGCCCGCAGCGCGCCGAAGGGCAGCCAGGAGCCCACGAAGGCGCCCTCGATGGCGAAGATGATGCGCAGCGAGTTCCGCGGGGCCCGGCCCACGTGCGGCGGCCGGCGCAGGCGGCGCGAGATGCGGCAGTAGCAGAAGAGGGTGACGCCCAGGGGCAGCACGAAGGTGAGCAGCAGCAGCAGCAGGCTGAGGCCCTGGAAGGCGTCGGAGGGCTCCTCGCCGCACTGGCTGCCCCGGCCGCCCGGCAGCGGCTGCAGCCCGCGGTAGAGCAGGGACGGCAGGCCGGCCAGCAGCGCGGCGGCCCACACGCCGCAGCACGTGGCGCGCGCGCAGCGCGGGGTGCGCAGCGGCCGCGCGTCCAGCAGCTTCACCACGGCCAGGTAGCGGTCCACGCTCATGCCCGCCAGCAGCAGCGCGCCCGCGCAGCGCGTGCCCGCCAGCGCGAAGCAGCTCAGCTTGCACAGGCCCTCGCCGAACGGCCAGCGGCCGCCGCGCGCCGCCGCCGCGGCCCACAGCGGCAGCGTGAGCACGAGGCCCAGGTCGGCGACCGCCAGGTGCAGCACGAAGGTGTCCACCAGCCGCCGCGGGCCGCGCCGCCCGGCCGTGAGCCGCACCACGAAGGCGTTGCCCAGCAGCCCCACCGCGAAGGCCGCCAGGTAGAGCGCGGGCACGTAGGCGTGGCCGTAGGGCAGGTCCCGGGTGGGACACAGCTCCAGCTCCTCCTCCAGGCCGTCGGACCCCGAGTAGTCCCAGGACGCCCCCCCAGGGCTGGGGCTCCAGGGCTGGGTGGGGGGCATGGCCGGGGTGAGGCCTGTGCGGACGGGGCGCAGGCGGCGGCGGCTCTGAGCGGGAGGGGGTTGCTGTTCACGGCCCGTGCCCGGCACCTCCCTTCCTGCCACCCCGGACCCGCGAATGGGTGGGCAGGAAGGTGGGGGGGTGGGAGGGGCAGGCTCCGTGGTGGAGATGGTGGCCTCCGATTTGGGGCTGTCCTGAGGGGGAAGGGCGGGGACAGGCAGAAGGGGCTGACGAGGACGAGGACCTGTCCTCAGGCCCGGAGACCTGCTGCCTCCCCGCAGGAGCCTGGCCCATGGCTTCCCCCTCAGTCGCTCGGTTTCTTCATGAAATCGGGGTACGCGCCTGACTTCCTCCGGGCCTGCTGTCGGGGTGCGGTAGGCCGTGGGTGGATGCCCGGAGCCCTGAGCCGTCCCCGCGCCACCCGGCTCCTTCCCAGCCCGGCGCTGCGCTGCTCTGTCTGGTTTCAGCGCCCAGGGTTTCGAGGCGGACGAAGCCTGAGGCTGCCTCCCGTCCTCCCATCCGAGTGTAGGAACCTGGTTCACGCGGGGTCTGGGGGACCCTGAGCGGGGACTGGCGCCCGAGCTCGCACGCCCCTGTCAGCCTCCCGAGATTCCGGGGTAAACGACCCCGAGAGTGGCTTCTCTGACCATCCAGGTCCTCGCGAAGCCAAGGGGAGGAAGGGATTTAAACCCGCGAGGGAGCGGCGTGGCCAGACTATCCTGCCGGAAAGGGGGCAACGCCTGGGGTTCACACCCGGCTCTTCCCATCTTCCCGCTTCCTGCGAGGCCTATTAGGCCAATCGCAGACGCGAGCACAGTCCAAGGCGTGACGCCTAATGACACACGGGATGAGTGGTCCCAAATTGGGAGTCAGGGCCTTAGACGGGCCGAGACGCCTTATGAAGGAGGGCGAGGGAGGGGTTCCCGGAGAAGGGTGGGAAGGAAGAGGGTGGGTGGTGGGACGTGGGGGGCAGAGGACGGGGAGGGGTGCGTCCAGTTACGTCTGACTCTGCTTAGCGGAGTCCTTCCCGGGAGAAGCCGTGTCGGGACTAGTGTCACGGTGCTGTGTGCCCTCCCAAAGGCTGCATGCACCGTTATCACCGGGAGTGAGTGACTGACGGGTCGGGCACCCTGGTGTCGCAGATTTGATGTGGATTATCAGTTGTGTTTGAGTCAGTCCCGTGAACATGGCCTCCCCGAGAAGCAGGCCGTGCTTCGGGCACGGCAGGAGATGCAACTCTTGACCTCAGAGGTTTGTCACTTAGGCGGGAGGGAGACACACACGCGCAGCGGCCCCCACGCCGGGAGACAAACCGTGGCAAATGTTAAAAACAAAGTCCTCCTGGGGCTCTGAGGAGGGAGCGACTGCATCTGACGGGAGGGGGCATCAGGCAGGGGTTGCAGGAGATGACGCTGGGGGCCAGTTCCAGGAAGGAGGCGAAGGTCAAATGAGAAAAGAGAGGAATGCGTCAGGCTAGGAGGAGGCGATAGTAGGAAGGCGAGCTTTTCCTGGGACAAGAGGCGGTCTGCCTGGTGTGACCAGAGCCCAGGGCAGGAGCCGGGTGGCGGGAGATGAAGCAAGAACGGAGGCCGAGGCCAGACTGTGCAGGGCTTGGGATTGCAGACTGTAGGCGGTGGGAGCCACCAGTCACCAATCTGGGAACGATCAATGGCGGGCAGAACTGTGGATGGGAGAGGGCAGAGGCTTAAGCCAGGGAGACTCCACAGTAGGTTTTGGTGTTTGTGTCTGGAATAGATTGTTGGCAGCGAAGATAGAAAGGAAAGGATCTGCTCAAGAGATACCTGCAGTATCAGGAGCTCGCAGAGAGGCGGCAACGATAGGCCTGGGGTTTCTCTGCTTAGAGACCGTATGGACGTGTCCCCTTAATTGTCCAGAACACAGAGGGGCAGGTGTGTCTGCGTGTCCCGTTTGATGTTGATGTGAAGTCGGGCGACAAAATAATTTTTGATCCAGAGCAGGATGCGTCTGAGAGTGAAAGAGGCACCATCATAATTAACCTGGGCCACAAACCAGGATCGTTCCGGGCAGTCCAGGACATGCGGTCGCCCTCGCGCCCTCGCTCGGGGTCCCTCTCATGTTTAGAGATCCCCGCAGCGGGGTGGAAAATGGTTCTAGAGCTCAGGCAGAGCTGCGCGCGCGTGTGTCTGGGCTGCTCCTGCCGAGAGTTTCTCTCCCAGGCCAATGGCAAGACGGGCGAGGCAGGCGGGGGGCGAGGCCGGGGAATGGGCAGTCCTGGACCCGCCTGCCCCTCCACCTGCAGTCCAGCTTCCAGGTTTGGGTTTTCCCCGGAGACCCAGCTCAGATGGCAGAAACCCGAGGGGATGCGGGAGGTTCAGAGCAGATCTTGTAACGTCTGAGCACAGGGCTGCTGTGAGTGGCGCCCATGCCCTGGCCGGCACGGGGGCTGCGGCCGCCTCCCCTGGCCAGCTGGCAGCCGGTGCTCGCAGAGCCCGGAGACAGCCAGGGACAGGCCCGACGCTGTGCACTGCACTCCCTGCGGGCACCTCAGTCCGGGCCTGGAGGGTCTGAGTAATCCTGAAAGCTAGAGATGGCAAAGGAAACCGCCAGGGGAAAAAGGAGAATGGGGTGAGCAGGCAGAGGGGGGACTGTAGGCAGGGGGTGAGGGGAAGTAGAAGTAGGTTGTTTGTTTTAAAAAAAACACAGAGAGTCTTGCTTCCTGGGCCGTGGCCCCGTACCCAAGGGAAGTCGGCGGCCCAGAGCATAGGGTGATTTTCTCTGCCGGGGCTTGGGTGGGGTGGGCCCTACCCAACCTGTCTGGATGGGAGGAAGCAGCCAAGGTCAGAACCAGGGACACTGCCCAGGCCTGGCCTCCCAGGGTGCCCGCCAGCCTGCCAGGGGACGCAGCAGCTGCATCCCAGGTGCAGTGACCAAGGCCAGCGCCCCCACGCTGCTCTCTCTGCTGCCCCCCCCCAGGACTCCCCACAGGATTCCCAAGTCAACTGATGGAAACGTCCATCCTACAGGCTGTGGACGCGGCCACTCTCCGCCGGTGTGAGCAAAGCTGCCCCGTCTGACCCTGCCCAGGGAGAACAAACTCCTGGGGCAACGGGAGCGTGACTGGCACAGCCTGAGAACAGAGGTGACACTTTAAATAAATGCTTAGAACTAAATTGCTTTCAGGAGTACATTTATTTCTGTCCCTTTGTGAGCTATATTTAAGCTCTTACAACTTATTTTTTCCCATTTTCATTTTCCTGTATAAATAATCTTATCTTTAACGTTTTTAGGAAAAATTTTGAAAACTGTACTTGCCTTTTTCATCATATAAGCCAATGACAATCACATTACAAAACACGGAAGAAGACATCCCAGACCTCACTCAGCACGGCCGTGCTTAGCGTTTTGGTGAATTTCCTTCCAGCCAGTTCAAGATGTTCTCAAAAGTAAAGAATTCACTCAAAAATCCATCGTCCTTGAATTTTTTTTTTCACCTTCCATTGCAGATATCCTCCACGCGTGTATTCTTCTACACAGCGGTTTCAGGCATATTTGTAATTAGGGCAGACACAGTGTTATGGTCTGCTTCTCTCAATGAATATTAATACCAGAGGAATCCGCATTTATCTATGTTGTTTAATTTTCTAAAGCCTTGAATTTGGACATTTAGGTTGTTTCTGGTATTTTTAACTGTTATAGAAATTTATAATACATAAATCCACTTATGACATTTTTCCTCTTCAACACTTTCATAATAATAATGCCCTTGTATAGATCAAAGGCTATACAAATTTTTATTGCTCGATACAAATGTTTACAGTGATTAGAGACTTAGAATGTCACTGGCATTGTATGTGGACATTAGGTTCAGCACAATCTTGTTAGATGTTCATCGGCAATGTGTATTTTTTCCATTTAATAGGTAATGAGGTAAATGGTGATTCATTTTAATTTGCATTTATTTGATCACAAATGAGATGGAAAAAAATCTTTCCATATTTATTTCCTCTTATTTGAACTATCTAATCATGTCCTTCACACATTTATCTATTATAATCTTATTATTTCTTTTTAATTTGTATGAACTACATATTTAAGATGAATCACAATCCCAGTTGATTCAATTATTTTTCCAGATTTTTCTTCTTAGCTATTTTGTTATTTTAGTTTTACATTTCAAATAGTCAAATCTGTTGCTCTTAGCAGTTTCAGAGGGTACAATGTTACTTTGACAATGTAAAAATATTCAGTTTTATAGTTAAAAAATATTTTTAGTCATTTTTAATGTACCTAGTGTGTAATCTATGTTTTTTCAGATTTCTATCCAGCTTTCCTAACATCGTTTATTAAATTTAAAACTTTTTTAAAAACCCTGCTCTTTGTGTTACAGTGTAGAATTTATCATATAAATTTCTTATGTCATTGCATCTGTTTCTGATCAGTGAACAAACAGATGAGATGGTTGGTAGTGAGGGTCTAGTCTAAATGTCAGATTTATAATTTGATAGCTCTGTGGTCTTGGGGCCACAGAGTTTCTAGTTTCCACATCTTAAAGTAGGCATGAGGCCAGGTGCAGTGGCTCGCACCTGTAATCCCAGCACTTTGGGAGGCCAAGGTGGGAGGATCGCTTGAGGTTAGGAGTTCGAGACCAGCCTGGGCAATATAGTGAGACCCCCCCACCATCTCTACAAAAAATATGGAAAATCGGCCGGGTGTGGTGCACCCTTAGTCCCAGCTACTCGGGAGGCCAAGACAGGAAGATCAGTTGAGCCCAGGGGTTGAGAGCTGCAGTGAGTTATGATTGTGCCACTGCACTCCAGCCAGGACGGCAGAGCGAGACCCTGTCTCTAAAATAAATATTCATACATAAAATTTAAAAAGTGAAATAAGTGTGATAATATACTTGATAGGGGTGTCGTGACGATCAAACGAGACGCTCTGGTGGAAGCCAGCTCTGATGCAGGTTTGAGCTCATGGGCGACACTGGGTTCCTCGGCTGGGTCATCGGGAAGGGCCACTCTCGTTTCTGGCTGTCCCGCTGCTGGCGCTGGTGCCCCTCCGGGACACGGTGCTTGCTTTGCACACGGCGGGGGGTCTGCGATGTCGTGGGGATTGCGCTGTGAATCTATGAAGAGAGGATCCCCACCTAGGGGTCTGGAAGACTCAACCACCACGGTTCGTGGTGCCTACTGTCACCCTGGCGGTGGTTTCCACAGGGTGACGGACAAGAAGCTGCAGAGAAACTGCTGACGGGACATGCCTACTTTAAGACGTGGAAACTGGAAACTCTGTGGTCTGCTATCAAATTATAATCTGACAGGGCAGCGTGGTCGGCGGGAGGTGAGCAGGAACTGGAGTCCTGGGTGGGAGGAGAATCTCGCAAAGCCAGGTCTCCTTGTTTCCACTCCCCATCTTGGTAAGGACTGAACTGGGAACGGGGAGTCCTCTGTTACAGTCACTATCACTGGCTGGCCACCAAGAGCAGCTGCCCCACGCACCACAAGACCTTGTGGGGGTGGGGGAAGCTAAAGGGGGGGTTCAGTTAGAGGCCAGGAGGCAGCAGCAGCTCTTGCTCCTGCCCTGCAGCCTCACCACCTAAGGGACGCCTGGCACACAGCTGGCAAGGGCAAGGGGACCCCGCCCTGGATGCCACGGGCCCTGCAGTATGTTTCAGATGCTCATTGATTTCAGAAACTTTCAGGTACTAAAAATGGACCAGCTGGCAAAGGACATCTGAGCTAGACATGAGCACTCAGCTTCAGCCCGTACTGCTGAGGGATGACTCAATGTGAAATTCTTGTGGCCTGCAGCTGTGTGATTGTCCCAGGGCCCCGTGTACCCCAGACATCACCGTTGGCTCTTAGCGGACACGGGGGAGCGGGTCAGGGATTGGAGTGGAGGCTAGGAGGAGGAGTGTGTACGCTTTCAAGGAAAGTCTCGACTCCTCTCTTTCTTCCATAGCAGGTTTTTGCTGCTCAAGGGTTCATTTTATTTTTTGAGATAGTGTCTCGCTCTGTCACCTGGGCTAAGGTGTAGTGGTGTCATCATAGCTCATTGCAACCTCAACTCCTGGGCTAAAACGATCCTGCTGCCTCAGCCTCCTGAGTGGCTGGGACTATAGGTGCCACCACGCCTGGCTAATTTTTCTGTTTTTTTATAGAGACGGAATCTTGCTCTTGCTGGTCTTAAACTCCTGACCTCAAGTGATCCCCCCCCACTCCCAATTTGGCCTCCCAAAGTGCTGGGATTACAGGTGTGAGCCACTGCACCCAGCTCCAGGGTTCTTTGAAAAGTAAAAAACAAACCCATCAGAAACTTAAAAACAAGCATTAGGGAAGTCCCTCAATATAAAAATGGCCCGAGAATTTGTTTGGAAAGGAAGTAACATTTTTTTTCTCTGCAGCAATGATTCTGCTCACAAAAACCTCTAAACTATGACTTGCCATTACTTTTCAGTGATTTCATAGAAAGTATAAATTTCTAGTTACCTGCAGCAGGAATTTGGCAGCATCCCCTTGGCACTGGTGGGGGTCCCTCCACAGGGCTGTGATCCTACCACTGACCAGTGAAACCCATTCCTAAGGTCACCTTTGATTTCGATGGACTGTGCAAACAGTCCCTTCCTACCTTGGGGCAAGCACTGTTATAAAGTAATGTAATAGATACAAAGACTTTTGGACGGTGCTTCCTCTCGGGGAACTTACACATTGTTGGAGATGAGCTATAATGTACAAGTCACTTTGATAGAAGGCAGGTTGTGATATCGAGGTTGAAGCAGGTCAGCCTTTCTGAAGAGGTCTGTGTCTAAGAGCAGACTGAGGCTGGGCGCAGTGGCTCACGCCTGTAATCCTAGCTCTCTGGGAGGCCGAGGCGGGAGGATTGCTCAAGGTAAGGAGTTGGAGACCAGCCTGAGCAAGAGCGAGACCCCGTCTCTACTATAAATAAAGAAATTAATTGGCCAACTAATATATATAGAAAAAATCAGCCGGGCATGGTGGCGCATGCCTGTAGACCCAGCTACTCGGGAGGCTGAGGCAGGAGGATGGCTTGAGCCCAGGAGTTTGAGGTTGCTGTGAGCTAGGCTGATGCCACGGCACTCTAGCCCGGGCAACAGAGTGAGACTTTGTCTGAAAAAAAAAATAATAAGAGCAGACTGAAAACCAGGATTAATACCTTCAGTGGTTCCAAGCACTGAAAAGGTTGCAACCACCTCAAAACCCCATCCCCATCTTCCTTGCAATTCAAAATAAAAACAGTGCTGAACTGCAAAATAACTGCTTTCATGACTACTGTGATGTTATCTTGAAATGTCAAACTTTTCTCAGTTTTATCGTGCCCAGTGAGTATTTCCTTCTCAGGTGTTCTGGCTTTGCTGAAAAGGTAGGTTGGGGAAAGCCTGCTCAGGCTTTAAATGCTGATCCCAAGATTTTGATTTTACGGTGTGATAACAAGGCACCGCCGAGTCTCTGACTAGTGGGGGATGGTGTGAGCAAATCAGTGCTTTAGGAAAATGGAGTGACGATGTGCAGTACAGCTTGGAGGGTGAAATAGAATTAGGAAAAGACCACTCGAAGGCTCTTGCGGAGTTAACGCATGCGTTACTGGTGCCTGGACAGGAGGCCGGTGGCAGTAAGGATGAGGAACAGATTGACAGGATTTGATGGCTGTCTGGGCATGAAGTCGTTCCATGTTGGACAGAGAACAGGGAGTGAGAGAAGACCTCGCAAGGATTCAGTGCTGGTGGCTGGCTGTATGTCGGGAAGGGGAGTTTTACTAGGAAGCTGACGTTTGGTTTTTTAAGGGGATGGCATTGGAACGTCCAGGACAGCAGTCAGATGCGTGGGTGGGCTCAGAGGGAGCTCTCAGGGCTAGGGATGGTAGAGCAAGAGAATAAAATCTGGGGCCAGGCACGGTGGCTCACGCCTGTAATCCCAGCACTCTGGGAGGCTGACGGAGGATGGCTCAAGGTCAGGAGTTGGAAACCAGCTTGAGCAAGAGCAAGGCCCTGCCTCTACCCAAAACAGAAAGAAATTAATTGGCCAACTAAAAATATATAGAGAAAATTAGCCGGGCATGGTGGCGCATGCCTGTAGTCCCAGCTACTCGGGAGGCTGAGGCAGGAGGATCGCTTGAGCCCAGGAGTTTGAGGTTGCTGTGAGCTAGGCTGACACCACGGCACTCTAGCCCAGGCAACAGAGTGAGACCCTGACTCAAAAAAAAAAGAGAGAGAGAGATAAAATCTACTTTAACTGCAAGTTCCCAGTTTTCCATCAACGGTTAATACATTATTTAGCAAGTACAGTCTGGGGCCATAAAGTGTTTTTACTCCACGACATCTATAATGTAGTGGGGAACTCTGTGCCATGTGGCAAAGGGAAGGGGATTCGAAATCAGAAGGCTAAGACTCCAGTTTTGATGCCACTTACTGGCTTTGAGTTCCCAAATCTAAAAGCATTTTAAAGCCTCGTTGTCCTCATCTATAAAACAGGGAGAAGTAAATACTCACCTCTTCCCAAGTGGCAGGAAGTTAAAAGAGAAAGCAAGTCAAAGGAACTTTCAAGCTGTAAACTATCCACTAAAGTGGATAGTTTCTATTTGTTTTGGAGTTGAGAGCCACTCTCCTTTTTTATATAAACATGCAAATCCTCGAGTATGCGTAGCTGGGTTGGGCTAGGAATCCCAGCAGCTGAATACGACTGTAAACTAGAGGCGCTGTAAACTACACATGCCATCCTGTGTCCTCAAACCCCCCTCCAATGCCTCTAACACTTAAGTGAAGGAAGTCACAAATGCGGCCACCTAAAACAACAGATTGGGGTTAAGAATAAAATACACTGGTAGCCCAGGTATCATAGTGGCTTTGCTTAACACGTTCAAAAAAAATCTTAGTGGGTAGTGGACTTAAAAACATTATTTGTTCATTCATTTGCTTTTTCCTCTTCAGTGGAAAGTAATCATTTCTCCCTATTTTTTCTGACATAAATATAAGCTACTGTGGATAGAGATAACTTTAGCTATGAATACAGTAATAGTAAACACATGCACAAACTAATTTCTGTTGTTTAAGCATCTGGCCTTGGAATACTGACATGCTAGAAGGCCTGTATGCCCAGAGAGGCGAAAACAGGTGACTGGAACTAGATTCTAGCTCTACTCATTTGAAGAGCAACTCTGACATTCTAACCTGTGCGCCTCCACCAACCCTCATCAAATTAGGCAAAATCGGTTGGGTGAGATGGTGCACACCTGTAATCCTAGCACTCTGGGAGGCCAAGGTGGGAGGATCTCTCTCGGTCAGGAGTTCAAGACCAGCCTGAGCAACATACAAAGATCCCGTCTCTGCAGAAAATAGTAAAATTAGCCGGGCATGGTGGTGCGCGCCTGTAGTCCCAGTTACTCGGGAGGCTGAGGCAGGAGGATCGCTTGAGGCCAGCATTTGGGGTTGCTGTGAGCTATGATTGTGCCACTGCACTCTAGCCTGGGCAACACAGTGACAGCCTATCTCAGAACAAAATAAAAACTAAAACAAAACAGGCAAAACGATTGGTATCGCATTTGTTTCTTTTGAAAAGCAAAACTGCCATTTACGATGACACAGATCTATGTCTTGAGCGCCTGTACAATGCTGAGGGGTGACAATTTCAAACTCATTTTACAGACATGTTTTCCAGTTCCTGACTCCTAGGTCATAGCATTAGTTATGTTTCCTTTGCTGGACTTTATTCTTTATTGTCTCTCTGTGTAGTCAGGTTACTAAGTAAAGGTGTCTGTTCCTATTCACTAGAGAATATTTTCCTTTGCCTTAGTTAAGAACTATCAATTAGGCAGTCAGAGAACACATTCTGAAATTGTGTGCAGCCTCTAGGGTTTGTGTATATGTCTCTAATATTGCCTGAGTCGTAGGGGTAAATTCTTTCATTTTTGAAAATGAAAGTACTAGAAAATATTATGGAAATGTAGCTCTGTTCTTAAGCTACAGAACCTGTCAAAATGTCCCAAAGTAGAGAGCCACATTTATACCTAATAACTGCAGATATTTCTTTAAGTATATAATTATACTTGAAGTTCTTATTGAATTTTTTTGTTATCAGATCTCTTTTTTCTTTATTGCTGTGGTCTGAATAAGCAGAATCAGCAAAATCAAAGTGAAACGTATAGAGTAACAGTCAAGAACTGGCTTCCCATGGCTAGAGATGATCAGTGAGCTCAATTTCAAAGACAAAGAGCAGTAATTCTGGCACAATTTAATTATCAATTTACCAAAAGATAGTTATATGGACAAGATTAATATGAGCACAGACATTTATACATCATGCTATATAGGCTATCCAGGCTAAGCACAGAAAGCTACAGAATTTTAAACATTGCCTTAGTATTGAAACAACATCTAATATTATTCAAATTGTTAAATTTAAATATAGGTTAAGGGATAGAAAAACTACATGGTTGAGTTCTCCCGAGTTTAAATAATTTTACCAAAAAATGCACTTTATTCAAGAAACAGAAAAGGAGTCATTTGGTGCCATGCTTTTATTCAAATGAAAGGGGAAAAACTACACTGTACCAGGAAATAGTAAATATGACAGTATTTTACAGCACAGCATCTTAAAAGAAATCTGTAAGCAATGCTCTCGAGTGGACAGGTAAGCACACCATTCACTGTACATTGCTCAACAGTGTCCATGAAACCGTAATTAAACAGCTGAATTTGACTTTAAACAGCCAAATAAAAACTGTAACCATCATTCTAATACAAAATTGGAAAACTGAGAAGAATTAAAAGCTTTCCAAGCTGTGTCAAATAGCAGAATCTGACAGGCTGCACGGGCAATCCTGACAAGTATTTGGCAAATTTAACTGGATAATTATCATAATAATTTGACTTCTGATGATGAAAGCACCAGTGTGTTTCAGGAAGGTTGATGAAAATCCCCAGACTTTAGGAAATGGCATATTTTTCATTTGTAAAATTCTAAAAACATAATTAAAAAAAAAAAGCTGCACCATAATAAAAAATCTGCAGACTTAAAGAAATATATCCATATTCCTTCTGCATTAATAAAGTAAAATCTTATACCGAGAGCAATGAACCTGGCGGCAGTATGCACATTCCACCTTCAGACATTCAGTTCAACTGCTAGACACGCAAATTTAAGAATAAAGGATGGTCCTGTTTAGTTTTAAATAGTTCCTCCATTCTCTTGCATCCAATTTTTCTTTATTTAATAGCCAAATAGTATCACAAAGATTGCTTTGATAAGGGAAATTTAACTGAAATGAACAAATTTAGTAATATAAAATGTTTTGATTACATTCACTTATACTTTTAAAACTAGTTTAATCTAAACATGTATTTGACAATCATTTCCTTCTAATTGTGATAGAAATTGTTGTCTGAAAGGTAAAATGTGCATTTCCCTGTTTTTAATATTCATATATTATATACACACAATATGTATACACTTAAAATATAAGAGTTACATATCCTGGTCTCTTACATGCAAACAGTAGATCACAAATAGTTTTGAGCTACACATGTATCTTGCACAGGTACTGGAAAAAAATCTGTGAAATTTTTTTTACAGTTTTAACAAATATACATAAATATAAGAACATAAATTACAGTAAAATATTGACAGCATTTCAGAAAATGTTGATAACCCAGAACACTGATGCCTAAAGGCCTTATAATAATAGAAAAGTACAGCTCAGGGACATCTCATTCCTATTCTTTTTTTTTTTAAAATAAGTAATTACATCATATGAGACATTAGTTCTCTCTCTAAACAACTCAATTAGAGAAATGTATATATTTTCATCTCTACTTCCCATGAAAGAAAACAAACTACGCATCTCATTTATGATACAATACTGTCTTTCCCCCCTGGTTTACACAGTTGTCACAACACTGAAACATAACAGGGTCACATAATCATTCAAGTCTTTTCCTGAGAATGAAGTTTTTCCCCAACTAACCCTCTGGTATACACTGTTAAAGAACAAAGATTATGTGGAGGAGATTTCAAGTGTGTATTCAATTTAAGCTGTTCCACTTGAAAAGGATTGAAAAGAAGAAGAAAAACCCAATATAAGTAAAATAATGTGAAGCTATTTTAAAATTAAAATGTAGCCCTTTGTACATGTTTAAAAATTCTAAATATAATTTTATATCAGTTATAAATATAACATAAAGACCTCTTGAGAACTTGTTTTAGGAAGTCTTAACATCTTCAGACTGAAAGATGACTCTCAAAGTGTCATTCACTTCTGCCAGCTTATAAAGTGACTTGCTTTAAAGAGATAGAAAGCCTTTTTTGTTAAAAGAACAATCTAAAGTATTCTGAGTTGGCCAGAAGTGGTGTAAAAACAGCACTGATTTAATCAGCAACTTCTTATATTCTTGGTTAAGCTCATGTGGTTTTTAAAGCGAACCTACTAGCAGCTCTTTATAATACCTCTTCTTATTTAATAGAGAAATGTTAATACTTGAGTGAATAATAAATACAGAATTGTAAATGCTTGGCAGAATAATTTTTGCAAATGCTCTAACACCATTAAAATATGATGGTTACTTTTGTAAAACTAAACACTAGTGTTTCTCTTAACATCATAAGGAAGGTGCAAGTTACTTCTGAAGGTGTATATCCTACTTTCATGATCATCACATGAAACAAAATACAAATGTATCTTAGAATAAACCCCCAGGAGAGAAAAATACCAAAATAAACCATCTACAGACAAGCATGTACATTAAAAGGTTAAAAAAAAAAGCAACAAATAAAACACATAATTTGTAATCTTAGCCATACTTCAACCTTAAGTCCAACTAGTATCCACGAAAATTCAGTGCTTCAATGTATCTAAGATCAAGCAGGTGAACCCAGTAACACACACAAATCTCCATTTGTGGATCAAAACATTGACTTCATCACTTGGACTCATCACCTAAGCAAGAATCTTCTGCATTCCAAAATACTGTGGTTTACATTCCAGTTGTTCATGACAACAGAGCTTAATGTCCAGTTTTAATTAATAAAAGTCTTGTTGGCAATTAGAAATATTTTCTATAGGCAGGAAAGATGAAGTGCAAATTTACCACGAATGTTCTGAAGCAAATATTTCCCAACTCCTATGCCTTAGTGGGTAAAAGTTTTTTAGGTGTCACTGGTCTTTTGGTCTGCCACAAATGGCTGTGAATGGTAATTGCATCAACACTGGCAGATAAAGTTTTAGCAGGTATGTGGCTAAACTGTTTCCTGTCAGAATTGTATTTGTAAAGTCCTTCAATCATTTTTTTAGTGATAGATTTGGGGCCTATCCCAGTCAGTTTACTGATTTCTTCAGTTTCTGGGCAGTAAGTATACAAAGACCTGAATTGGCAGCCTGAATCCCGGAACAGGATTAAGAAGTTGTTGGCATCTGACTTCTCCATTTCCTTCAGAATAAAAAATAAAAACAAAACAACAATAAAAACCTTTAAACATTTTGCTGAATAAAGTTTATATAACTGTGTTACATTTCTTGGTCACATTTTATGACATTATTTTTAATGACAAATTTTAAAGTCTATTCCTGGTAAATCTGTAGTCCTCTAGAACCCAATTTGAAAACTAAATCTAATAATTAAAACACCTAGTTACAGATCTTTTTATATAGTATTGAAATTCTAGGCGGCCTAGGAAAGTATGTTCTCTTGAATTAATAGAGAAGACCCCTATAGTTTTAGAATGTTGTTAAATTTAATTTTCATGCAAACATGTTTACCTCCAGTATTTTTTTCTTCTGACCTTCATTTACTTTTCCAGCCAAACAGCAATGAGCTAAAGCATTTTGTATTATATGCTTATTGGATTTTGCACTGGGTTCTTTGTAGAGCTTTGGTCCTGTGGTAAGGAATTAACAACAATAATAAAAACATCACTCCTAAGTCAGAAATAGTACTATTTTTAAATGATGTAATTGTTCCCACACTGATGAAACACCATAATAGAAGACCAAATTCTGTACTCAAAAGCCTCTTACTGGCTGTACTCCAATCAAAATATTATTTTATCCACACAGGGACACACCTGGAGGATGTTCCTATGGCCATCTGAGGCTGCCGCGTGAGAGCAGTGCTGGAAATAAAATACTGCTGAAATTGTCACACCATTTAACCTTTCTTAAGTATGGTAAGGTTAGTGACCTTGAAGTAGAAAAGGTCCATGAGTAATTTAAACATTTAAAAAGGCAAGAAAATGCTATATCTTTTTTCAGATTGCTCAACTGATCTAACCTAGAGAAGCAGAGAGGGTAACATGGAAACATTATCCTATCTCAGGCTTTAAAAACTGTCAGGCTGGCTGTAAGAGGCTGTATTAAAAGACACAGAGTAGAGTCTCTAGCAAGTTCTGACTTCTTTAGGCCTTTATAGGGCTTCCATTTCCATGTATCACAGGTGGATGGAGGCAGTCTACTATTGCTCATATATGTTCCTCTCCTGTGCCTTTCCATTTTAACTCTCAATGTGCTACTCCCATTTCCTCTTGTTTCCTTGCCAGCTTCATTTCTTTAGAAGTATCCTTAACCTACAGTCTGTCCTTCAATTTGTCTAAATTTGAAGCATGCCTACCGGAGTAGCTGGGACTACAGATGTGTGCCACTATGCCTGGCTAATTTTTTCTATTTTTGGTAAAGATGGGGTTTCGCTCTTGCTCAGGCTGGTCTCAAATTTCCAGCCTCAAGCAATTCTCCCACCTCGGCCTCCCAGAGCATTAGGATTATAGGCCTCTGGGCTGCCAAGCCCAGCCTTTAGAGCCTCTTGATACTTATTAAAGGTGCACAATTCTAGATACCCAGAAATCCCAATGTTAGGGAGAGGGCTTTGTGGATTCCAGCCTTTACTCAGTACCAAGGGCTTACATATTGCTGAAAGAACTTCTCTAAAACTTCTTCAGACCCAAATCATACCAAGAAACAGTCAACATTTTTAAGATAGAAATAGAGGGGCCGGGCTTGGTGGCTCACGCCTGTAATCCTAGCACTCTGGGAGGCCGAGGCGGGCGGATTGCTCAAGGTCAGGAGTTCAAAACCAGCCTGAGCGAGACCCCGTCTCTACCATAAAAATAGAAAGAAATTAATTGGCCAACTAATATATATAATATAAAAATCAGCCGGGCATGGTGGCTCGTGCCTGTAGTCCCAGCTACTCGGGAGGCTGAGGCAGGAGGATCGCTTGAGCCCAGGAGTTTGAGGTTGCTGTGAGCTAGGCTGACGCCACGGCACTCAATCTAGCCTAGGCAAGAAAGTGAGACTCTGTCTCAAAAAAAAAAAAAAAAAAAGATAGAAATAGAGGAATTAGATGTAAGCAGCATTACTCATTTTGTTTAGAAACCTATTTCAATTCATCTGGGATTAGTCACTACTTCCCTCAGTGGAGCTGTATCACTGAAACTGAACTACCCGAAAGTGACCACCTGTATTCACTATTTTTTATTAGTCTCCTGTGTTTAGACCAGAAGATGAGCCAATAAAACTTTCTTTGGAATATTATCTATAGCCTACATCTATGAGTATGTTAAATTCAAATGTTTCCCTAAAAGTGTACAGACACTAACCTGTGTATTCTGTTCCAGAAGCCACCGAAGAGGTTGTTGATGCATTTTCCCAGTCCTTTTCTCCATTTCGACTGCCACAGCGACTTGGAGACAAGAAGCCTTCTACAGACTCTGACCTAAACAGTAAATAAAATATTTTTTATGTCTCAAACAGAGAAAGAATGGGGCCAGAAAGTATATGTGAGAGTACCAACCAAAATCAATCTAGAGGCTTAAAAATAATAACATGATGACAATGTTTTCTGTCTTACAGCTAACACAAGCCAAGTCCCTAGAATATTGTAGGCACCCTATAAATATTTGTTGAAAGAATGTTTTTCCATATGAAAATTGGCAATCTACACAAGAGGATGATGATACAAAGATTAAAATTCTAACATGACTGTCACTAGAAACATTCTTTTCTGATAGGGGTATTTCATTACCTCATAATTCATTATATTCAGTACTTTATATTTTATTGTGAAGTAATAAAATACTGACTTTCAGCCTCTAATCTATACCCCAAAGAAAGAGAATAAAAAAGAGATCTTTCCTAAGTCAGAAGCAACTTATTTTGGAATTATTATAATGGGGATAAACTCGTTATATTCAGTGGGAAATACACTAGAGAGGCTGGCACTATACAGATTATGTACTTCCTATTTCTACTGACCATGATTTAATCATAATCATGCTAGCAATTACTGGCATAGAATTACTGTTAATGTTTCATAGCATATAAAATATCAATGTCAATAATTCTAAATTCTAAAACATAAACACTGAAAGTAAATAGACCTCTTTACATAATTTAGCATAACATAAAAATTTATAATTATAATTTAGACATTATAAAAATATAAAATAAAAACACTAAAGAATTTTACTTATAATTTTGTATAATCACAGATACCATATTTTTTTCTATAAAAAAAATTCATGTTATGGACTTACCTTGGTGTCCTCTTGCCTGAATGCACACTCTCGTTATCACCTGTGTTTAGCGATGCCAAAGAAAGGCTAGAGACTGAAAAAACACGACAAATTCGTGATCCTGAATAGAAACAAAATTAGAAATTTAAAAGGAGCAACTAGCAAAGAGTCTGTTCATTAGATAACACCAGCATATGAAAATTAAGCATCTCGTAGTTTCTTTTCCTTTCTTCTTAATCTAAACACATAATATGCTTGCATGCATATATATATACAATTTATTTAAAGTTAGCAAGGACTTAGTTTTAGGAAACAATGATAAAACTAACTTGCTGTTCTAAAAGCAAAGTGCTAAGATGAGATATATTGTGATCCTAAAGGAAAAAAATTACCAGAAAGAATAAAATATGTTAAGGACTATCTCATTCCTAGGTGGAAAATTAATTTGCTGATTTCACCCAATACTGTATATTAAATAGTTTCACTGACTAGAAAAGACAGAATTCTCTTTGAACAGTCAATGTTATGTTATTTTTCCTCCCATTTAGAATAACTATGGGAATTCTCTAAAATTTTCCATGGTATTTGGTTTTAATAAAGATTTTTTAAAAATAATAGTATGCTTATATAGAAATCATTTTTTAATCAAATGAAACTTGATTTGACTTTTGACAATGAAATATGTAATAATCAAGAGATGCCAATGTTTTAAGGATTAGAAATTAGGAATTTCAATTGTTTGAAATAAGTTATATTAAAAACCATACTACTAAAATAAAAGCAACAATTAGGATGGGGTAAAATTCAGTCTTTTAATCAAAAGCAGGTACTGTCCCAGGAAATGACAGTATAACAGTGAACAAAAGAGTTCCAAGCCCATCCCTCTCCAAGGGGAAGACAGAATATGCACAAACATATTAGGAAGAAAAAAATGGAGAAGGGATAAAAGACGATTAAGGAAGAGTGCCCCATTAGGTAGGGTGGTCACAAGGACTTCTCCAAAGAAATGATATTTAAATCAGTGAAAGATGTGATCACTCAGCATAAGTAATTTTGGGGAGAATATATACAGTTATTTTTGTAAGTCTAGAATAACCAAATATATTTTTATTAAATAAAAGTGAAAGATATTTCAGAGCTCATCTGTATTTATTATATATCCTCTCTTTTTCCAGATGTGGAAAGCAGTTTGGACAAATACTGCTCAGATCACATAGCTTTTTGGTGACTTGTAATTATTGATAGAACCTGGTTTCCCAGTCCCCACACCAATGCTGTCTTTACCAAGTTCTTCTCTATCACTCTTTGCATTGGAAACTTCTTGAAGGGGCACAAAGCTGTACAATTTTGGCCTGAGAGGATGTATGGAATAGGGAAGAGCCAATTTCATTCCTTTACAGAGCAATGAAGTGTAATTATATCATGGGCCAATTCCATGTATTTGAGCCTCAGGTGTGTTTTCTTAGCACAAATCAGTAGAGCAAGCACTTTTTATTACTGGATGTCCCCTTGAGTTGATGCCTTGTCACGAGCACCATGGAGCCCCTAAATGTTGAGACCTTGAAAATTTCCTTGATTTACTGTATATTTTTACAGAACAGATGATTCTGCAACTCAAGCCATTCCTCTTTGCTTTTGGGAGACATCTGGCTATTGATTTTTAAAAAGCGGGTGGGAGGGGATCATGAAATCCAGCAAGGGCAATCAGTCAACCAGAGGCTCAGCTGGTTCCTATTATGTCAACTGCACCTGCTTTACCTTCAGGTTTCAATGTGTGTGGGGCACACGAATCTATGACAACTGACAGAATAGATCATTCTCTTTTTCACAGTTTACTTATATTTCTTTGAATGGCATCAATATCAATGTATCAATAAAAAAAATTAATGAAAAAAAGCGTATGCACGTTGAATTTAAAAAAAGTTATATTCTCAAGTGCAGAAGTTATAAATTTGGACTTCTGACCATTTCTAGGAAGAACTTGTGAATTTTCTGATCTTATATTCCTTATTATACCAACATGTTTGTTGTACATTTCATGCAGATAATATTTACCCTTAAATTTACAAGTATGTAAAGGATAGTTAATAATTCAGAGAGATTATATATGAGGGCACAGTTTCCTAATAGGTTAGTATTTAAACTGGATTTTTAGCATTCATATTTGTTCTTTTGCATATATGCATGCACACATAATACACTTAATTTGTTAAAAACTTCATTTGCTCATTTTGGTTTTCCAAATAACGAACATGCATAATCTCAAACTGTGTCTCCAATTTTGCATATCAAAGCACAGTCAAGGTGGCATGACAAACCAAGCTGGTGTTTTTTATGAACAGACTCTTCATAATAAGCTGTGTTACCTGGAGGACCTTTTATTGGTGTTTTTGGAGATTCAATATGATCTCTGTGAATAGATTTCGGTCGCTGTTTTTTTTGTTTTGATACTTGAGGACGAGGTTTAATTACTGTATCCATATCTTCCATAAGTTTCAGTTGTTTTCGCCTCATATATTCTTGCCTAATAAATTCTCTGCGTGCTCTCTCATCTTCCTTCTTCTGACGTTCTTCCTCAGTTTTTCGCCTACGAAATCAAATGGTTAAATTTCTTATTCTGCGTGCCAAAGACAAATGACATTGGAGAGAATTACGAATTTGATATGAGAAGGGAGAATTAATTGTATTTTGGCAAGTTGGGGTAAAAATGGTTCATTTAAAATGTATTTGAGATAATTTAGGTCATACATGTATATCTCCCAGTAAAGTTATTTTAAATTAATGTTTTTTACACATTTAAATTAATGGTTCTGGAGAACTTCACAGTAAGATGCCTCAAACTTAGGATAAAAATATAAAATCAGGCAATACTTTGGAAAAATAAATTGACTTCTACAAAGCACCAAAAAGCAGCATTGACCCAGTTGTCTTATATACTACAAATATCTCTGGAAAAAAATCTGTTAATAAAAATAAATGAGAAACTGCCTCTCTGAGTACATACTTACCAAATTTTCCTAAATATGCCCACGCATCATCAACGCTCAAATTTAGAACTGGCACAACGATTTCCTTTACCTTGTTTCCTCTTTCTTATGCTCCATTTCTGCTTCCAGCTGTTGTTTCCGAAGCTGAGTTTCTTTTTCCCTTCTTAATCGTTTCTCCAACAAAGCTGCCCGTTTCATTGCCATATCATTTTCTGCTTTTTGATCATCCTAAGAATTTCATTGAAAAAGATGAAATATTTTAAGTGCGAATATTCTCATTTTTAATTGTTGTAGTCACATTTTGTGGTTACACTTGTAACTGAAAATTTGAACTATGACAGCCCCATGGAATATGATCAAAGTCCAGAAATTATGAAGGGAGAACTGAAGTTGTAACAGTTCTATTAAGTAACAAAGGACACTTAAATTTATTTAAGTATATTCTTTCAAAACCTAAGAACTTTGCAAAGAACCATAAAAAGAAAAAAAAATAAAGATTTTTTTTTATCCTAATACAAAACTTAAAGTGGGGAGTTTCTAATTTTTAAAATTGCATTTAAATTATATTTAAAATATATGCTCAGTTAAAAAACAAACAAAACAAAAACAACAACAACAAAATGCAGGTAAAAAGCACCCCCAAATTAGCTACCCAGTGTTATATCACATAAATAAAACTACTGCTGCATGATTTTTTTTGAAGTTGAGGTAGTGACAGTTTGCTTGATAGGTTCTGAATTACACTGGAAGTTTTTTCTTTGAAGAGAATTAGGCATGATTATGCTCCTCTTCGAAAGTTCTTTAAATCTGAGGGCTAGTTCATTATCTGTAGGCCTCCTGGGCCTGCCCCAATTTCTACCCGAACTCTAAAGGATAGCTCTAGTTCTTAGAGGGCTTGAAAATGCTTCAAAGTTCTGGAAAATTATAGGTTGTAGATATGGTTCATTGTCTTAATGACTCCTTGTCAACTGTCCTTGTCAATAAAAATTTCTTTGGTATGTAATATATTCACAACATGGTGCCAGACATTACAAATATTAAAATACATGATGCCTTAGGTCAAGGAGCTTAAAAATCACAATAGGAAGAGGTACAAATAAGGTGCTTTGTGCTAGAGAGACATTTAACTCTGAATAGAGAGTCAGAAGATACCATTCAGACAATCAGTTCAAACACTCATATGTCTGTATCTAACAAACTGCATACATTTTGAAGTTTTCCAGGAACTTTACTGTGCTCTGGGGATAAAAAGATGCAGTACCTCTTGGAGGTCACGGTCTAAGAGACAAAGCAAATCATAACAAAATAGATGAAAACTTTGAGTCACAGGTACTACAGTTATGAATATCTTTAGGATACAACAGAACACACAAAGGAGGAAACATTTAACCTCTACTATGGAATTATGAAAGGCTTGAAAGCATGAAGTTAGCCTTAAAGAATAAAGCTAAGTCCAAAATAAAAGTTATGGGGAAGAAGCTGGACAAATAGGTTTAGATTAGTCTCTAAATGTCCCTGAATGTTATACTAAGAGGTTTGAACTTTATGAAGAATGGAATGCCATGATTATCAACAGGGAGCCTACTTAAGAAGCTATAATGGTCCAAGGGATGAGTACTGGGGATGCTGAGGACGAGGAAATGAATGGGATAGCAGGTATGGAATGGAAATGAGGGTGCAGATGTGCTGCCTGTTTTACATTATAGGTTTTTCCTCTGTTTTCTGTTCTCTGCAAGAAATAGAGGTAGCAAAGGTCTCTAAAACTAGACAGTAAACTTATATTAGTGCCTATAGTAGCATTCTTTTAAAAAATGGTGGTGTTACATGATTAAGGGACAAAACATGACTCACCTCCAAATTTTCAAGCATTGAGAGGGGCCAAAAGGGTAATCATCCTGAGATCAACTTTAAAATAAGTTATAAATTTCCAACATTATGGTCCTTTTCAGAGGGTACAAAAAGATATTTTTTCCAACGTTAAATGATCAAAAGTAAAACTAGCAATTGTAATCACTTTAGTATTCTTGTGTTCTTATTGCACTATTGCTGTTTGCTTCAATTTAAAATCTTAAAATTATAAATTGTTGCTGTTGGGTGTTGTCTTTTCTATCTAAATTTCAAAATTGTAGGGCTACACAGGATCAGAGATTATCTGCTTTAGTCCCTTAATTAAAAAAAAAAAAAGAAGTATGAATAACATACATTTCCAATTATAAAAAAAGTTCTTCTCTATATTTGGAAAATATAGAAAAACATAAAGATGAACAAAATGGATGATAATCTAGTAGAGAACTTTTAAAATATTATTAGGCTTTTCTAGTTTTTCTAATATCTATGATAAATTCTAATATCTTTACCATCAAGAGATGATACTGTTCAATATTTATGTTAGTTGGCTACAGAATTGTTTATGTTGTATCCAATACCAATACTGAGATTAAAGGTCATGTGCTAGACTTTTAGCCAATGCTTTTAAAGGAGCTATTTCAATGACAACTGTTCAAACTATATATGCTTTTTAAAATATTTTACCTTGCAAGAGCCTATCTGGTCAGTTTTTAAAAATTTCTTTAAAAAGATTTTTAAAAGCTTACTGTATACTTACATATGCCAAGTTATCAGCTTTTTACAAATTGGCAATGGAATCTCTCTTTGAGGAGATCTGAATAGCTTAATTTTTAAAAGGCTTTTGTGAAAGTGAGAAAGAGCAGTAGAGGAGTAGAAACAGGGAGTGTATCTAAACATGTACCATAACTGGGATAAAAGGATCCATCACAGCTTTGAGTCCACGACGGAAGGATACCGTAGAAATCACAGTGTGCTGGAATGTTACTCTAGTCCACCAAGGGGGAGGTGCCACATTATACTTTGTAGGATTAATGACAGACTTGCAATAAGAGAGACTGGTACTAAAATAAGTAAGCACGTTAACCAAAAAAACCCTCCCCAAAACCCCACACTCATCTAATGAAGATGCCCAGAAATATGCAGATTAACATTACCTTAAAAAAGAATCCACAGCATACTTTCTGGTCATCATCAAATTGTTCTTTATCACTTTCTCCATCATATTTTTCAACAGATACATCAGCCTTTTCAGGTGGTTTCAAATCTGAGAGGGAAACTTCAATCAGGTTGACGTTTTTAGGAGCGGTAGGTGGGAGAATGAGTTTAGGAGGTGGTTCTGTGGGTTGATTCAGCTGGTCCTCATTTGGTGTCAGGCACACAGTCTCTGTGACAGGCTGTGACAGGACTTCAGAAACTGTTGACTCAAAAGGTTTGATCTCCTTTTCTTCTGGATCATGTCCATCACGCCGTTCCAAAGTCCCTTTGGATTCCAGCTCCTCCTTTTTACCTTCTTCTTTAGGTTTGGATTCTTTTAACTGAGGTTCTCCATCATCCCCAAAACAGACAAACGACCTGGTCTGAATAGGAACCTGACTTGGAGAAAACCTCCTTAGCCGAGGAAGACTATCCACAGACCGGGGGGGAGTCAAGGTTCGATTCAAAGGTGTTATTTTTAACTCATTTGGCCTAGGAGTCCTTTGATTTTTAACAGAAAAAGATGTGCTTTTCCTGTTAGAGGACTGCGGAGATGGATGGGTGGGACGAGGGGAGTCTGCCAGGAAAGGCGCGACGGCTGATGACAGGCCTGCCTGCCTAGAAGGCTTAAAATCTCTAAGCTGTTTCTGTGGAGAGGGTTGTGGAGGTGAAATCACCCAAGACTGCTGCTCTCTCATCTGCATTAACATCTCCTGCTGAAGTGACAAGCGCTGCATTTCTTGTTGTAGAAAATGCAGGGACGAATTTAACTTTTCAATGGATTTTGTATATTCTAAAATCTCTCCTTCATTTAAAGTTTCTTCTGAGGGGCTTGCCAGGTTCCACTGCTTCTCAGGATCCACAGGTGTGGTTGGAGACTTTAGCCACTTGGCCTGAGGACTCTCCATGCTTTCTTTTATGTCTGCCAGAGACTTGCTCCTCTGCCCATCAGTTTTTTGTGACTCCTTTTCCTTTGCTCGGTCAGTATACACTTTCTCATCTTCAGCACCAGCGGCTTCCTCTCGAAGAGGGGAAATCCCTTCCCCTTTCTTTTTCACTACAGTAAGGAAGGCTGTCCTTCCCATTTTCTGCCTCTGTTTAGTAAAAGCGGCTTCCATTTTCTTTTTCTGGGCTTCTATAGCCCGCCTCTTTTCCTCTAGCTTCATCCTAAGATGCACCATTTCAGAAGCCAACAGCTGGGTAGTGTCCCGTCCTTGTGGAATGCCTGTTTCTTCTGGAATTTGTGCCCAACCAACCACATGAGGAATATTAAGTTCAGAGCCCTCTGGTGTAGTTTTTTGAGAACTGCTTCCACTACTTTTTCCATCAGTGTGATTCAGTTTCCTGAACTTCTGTTCAGCAAAGCTGGTCATTTTAACTCCAGAATTGGAAGAAGCACTGCTACCTGGTTGAGATTTGGTGCTTACAGTGCTTGGACAAGGACTCAAAGCATCTCTGGGGTTGCTGGTTCGTATATCATAATCCTGAAGAAATTTAGATGCATCATCCATGTCAGAGTCTAAGCTTACAGTATAATCTCTCAAAGAAGAATCTTCATCCATAGTTTCAGGAATATCTTCTGAAGGAACATGGATTCCAGTGTCTACTTCAGTATTGTCAGTTATGGGACTCAAGGCACCTTTTGTATCAGTTATATTATCGGGACTAGATGGATTTAGCTTGATGTTTGAATTGAGGATACTCATTTCCTGGCTATGAAGAAAGAAGCCATTAGCAATTTGGTCTGGCCGGGGAGTGTGAGGACATTTTTCAGTATCGTGAATTATCTGTAAAGCCTCTTCAATGCTTGGTGTCTCTATCTGATTGCCAAATTCATCTAGAAGTACTCTATTTTGTAAAGCTCCATTTGGAAGCTTGTAATGAACATTTTCATTAGAATTTAGTTCGTTTGTATTAACGGGTACATAAGACTTGAAGTCACCATGAGAATCTACATTAAGTTCTTCTTCAATACTTTCTGCTTCCTCTTCTCCATTTATTGGCTTGAAGGATAAATTTTTCCTAATGTTTTTAGATACACGATTGTTGTTCACAGTAAGTCCTTCATTACTAATAGAACGGGTGATTCCTCGGTTTGGAGTGGATCTCGGTACACTATCTTCTTTATCAAAAGAAATATCAAATGAAACGCCATGCACTGATGACCTAAGAAAAATTTAAAGAGAAAATCTTTAAAAATTCTGGAAAACAAATTAATTTTTTATACCATTGAACAACAATTATTTCAAATTATATTTCCTTTCTTTCCCATTTCTCATAATCACATTGTTCTCAAGGTGAGGTTAGGGCTAACTAGCTACCTTTTAAAGTTAGCCCCTTTAGTCTCTCTATAGCTGCTTACGTTGCCCTTTTCAAATTTAGGTATGAATTAAAAGTCTAATTGGTTATCAACAAAAGAGAGACACACAGAGATAAAAAATTAGCATTTCTTGATAATGTGAATACACTAAAAATAATTCTTTTTGCCTACCTTTTCTCTTTGGGCCATGTCCCTATGAAGCCATCAACATAAGACATAGATGAAGACCTTCTAATTCCTCCTTTAAATGAAAAAAAAAAGCCATTGAAATCACATAAAAAATTTTAATTTATAGCACTTTAACAGATTTCATATATTTGAGAATTCATTAAGAGCAATTAAAATTAAGTAGAATTGGAGAATTCTGGAGAATTAGAATTATAGAGAATTAGAGATCATTTTATTAAGAAAAATGAGCATAAAGAAACAGACCGAGCTTTTAGTGTGTAATAACAGCTAATTTGCAGAAAAAGAATGGGTATTTATTTATATTTATTCTCAATTATTACCTGGGTAACTTAAAATAGGATTTTCCTAGGCTTTTTCAAATATATTACCTGAGGCTGAAGAATGAGCTTGGGGACGTGAATATCTAGAAGGCAAATGATGATGAGACTGTGCAAATGTAGCTCCTTCCCCACTGCAATGTAAAATAATTTTGAAATATTATATTTTAGCTGCTTAATATAAATACTGTATAGAATGACTGAAGTTAGAGATAATACTATCATCTGATTGCTTATTCTAAATTTTAAAAATATGGAAATGTAATATATTGTTTAAACCAAAGAATGGCTATGATTATAGTATATATCTATATATATTTTATGTCTTTCAGCCAAACAACTTGAAGTACTTTCATATACCTCTCAATGCCCTTGTGAGGTAAGATAATGGCATATTATTTTCATTTTATAAATAGAAAATGGAGAAATAAAAAGAATTTAAATGAAACTTACAAACTTGAAATATTTTGGTCAAATCCAAATCTGTAAAAACTGTAAGTATAATAAGCCCTTGTAAAGACCTGACAGCCTCCTTGCTCACAGACCTATGTCTGCATTATCTCTATGCCCTTTTGGGGTCATCGCCAAAGCAGCAGTGGCTAAAATGAAGTTCAATCCCTTTGAGACGTGTGACGAAAGCAAGAAACACAAAAGGCCTTTCGATGCACCTTTCAGCATTCACAAATTACGTCTTCAACTCTTTCCAAAGAGCTGACACAGAAGTACAATATTCGATACATGCCCATCCAGAAGGATGAAGAAGTGTGGGTTGTGCAGAGACTCTATAAAGGTCAGCAAATTAGCAAAGTAGTCCAGGTTTACAGGAAGAAATATGTCGTCTACACTGAATGAGTGCAGCCAGAAAGGGCTAATGGCACAGCGGTCCATGTGAGTCCATTCATCCCAGCAAGGTAGTTATCATTGGGCTCAAACTGGACAAAGATCACGAAAAGATCCTTGAACAGAAAGCCAAATCTCACCAAGTAGGAAAGAAAAAGGGCAAATATGAGGAAGAAACAATTGAGAAGATGCAAGAATAGGGTAATTTTTTTTTTTTTTTTTGAGACAGAGTCTTACTTTGTTGCCCAGGCTAGAGTGAGTGCCGCGGCGTCAGCCTAGCTCACAGCAACCTCAAGCTCCTGGGCTCAAGCAATTCTACTGCCTCAGCCTCCCATGTAGCTGGGACTACAGGCATGTGCCACCATGCCCGGCTAATTTTTTCTATATATATTAGTTGGCCAATTAAGTTCTTTCTATTTATACTAGAGACGGGGTCTCGCTCTTGCGGAGGCTGGTTTCTAAGTCCTGACCTCAAGCAATCCGCCCGCCTCAGCCTCCCAGAGTGCTAGGATTATAAGCGTGAGCCACCGCGCCTGGCCAGAGTAAGGTAATCTTCTATAAAACTTTCATTAACAACTGCTACAATGAAAAAAGAAAAAAATCAATTACATTAAGATTAATATAGTGTTACACGAAATAACTTGCAAATAGAAAGTCAAATACTGCATGTTCTCACAAGTGGGAGCTAAATAATGAGTACACATGGACACAGAAAGTGGAATAATAGACACTGGAGAATCAGAAGGGTGGGAGCATGGGAGAGGGGTGTGGGAAGAGTAATTACCTAATGGGTACTACATACACTAATTTTTGGGTGAGAGTCACACAAAAAGCCAAGACTTTACCACTATGTGACAATCCATGTAACAAATCTGCACATATACCCCCTAAATATGTTTAAAAAATTTTTTTTTAAGGATTAATATAGTGAGCTGTACCTTCAAGACCTCAATAACTATAATGACATGAAGCTTTCCTGTTATTTCTCCTTATTTAATTCCACTCTATTCCAATTAATGCAGGGGCTTAGATAGTCTATTTCTCAAATTGTAATATAATGACATTTGGCCAGAATCAAACTATCCTCTCTTAATTTTTCTCTTTACATGTTTTAAGTCTGCAATGTCTCTCCTTGCAGTTAATTGAAGAAGTTAGGTATACCCACTCCCAAGTGATTGAGAGTAAATTGGGAAACAAGATATAGTGACTGTAGCTCTATAGCTCTCTCAAACCATATTATCTTTGGCTAATGTAAACTGATATGATGAACAAGTCAACCAGAGAATTCAAAAGTAAATAGCAATGCAGTATTCTTACTATCTAATGAAAGCTTAATGAGCTTCTCCAAAAGCAACAATACCTGAAGAACTTGTCCAAAGCAAATCTTGTCTGCCCCTATGGAGCTTTCCCCTCTAACTACACATCACATTTTCCTTCAGTTTTACTTGTAACCATTTGTTAGGACTGTCAGAGCACACTCTCCCTGCTCTCTTGGTATGTTTTTCTCTATTGGCCACCCCCCCACCCCCGCCCAACATCACTTCTACAATTTCTACTCTCCCTTAGATCTCCGACAGTAAGGTAATCTTGACTACAAGCAAGTAACTTATTATATTCACTCTTTTTCTTTCCCAAATACTGGCTACAGTGTTGTAAATTCCTACTGTCTCACTTTCACATCTGCATAGAGGATTTTGATCTGGTGTAACTCTTCAATAGCTGGCTGCCAAATGTGTAGAGTAGCTGCTGAAAATGTCTTTTGCTTTGCCTATCTTTTTCTCTCTCTTTTTTTTTTTTTCCTCATAAGAGCATTATTTAGGTACAATAAAATCTGTCGATGTGTCTACATTATTCCCAGGAAGAGTAAAAATCCTTGAATCCTTCAAAAGTTCTACAATGTTGGAGAAATACAATGGACCATGTGGAGACTTACAAAAATGAAAGGATGACTAGGAGCCTAGAATAACAGCTATACACCAACTCTTCAAGGAAAAGAATTTAGACCTCTATCTGGGTTATAAAAATAGTTCCTACTAGGAAAAATAGAAAAAAAGAGACACTTAGATGTCTGAGAAAAAAAGAGATGAGTCTTCCAGGGAATCTGAATTTAGACATTTTTCAATGTTAGAAATGTGGAAAACTGTACTTTTAGGTTCCTAGAAATAATAATTATGAAAGGAGAATTTAAAGATTTAATAGTACAAGAGTGATAACCTAGAAAATATTGAGTGTTTCTGAAATTTTTTTTTTTTTTTTTGAGACAGAGTCTCGCTTTGTTGTCCAGGCTAGAGTGAGTGCCGTGGCATCAGCCTAGCTCACAGCAACCTCAAACTCCTGGGCTCAAGCGATCCTCCTCCCGAGTAGCTAGGACTACAGGCATGAGCCACCATGCCCGGCTAATTTTTATATATATATCAGTTGGCCAATTAATTTCTTTCTATTTATAGTAGAGACGGGGTCTCGCTCTTGCTCAGGCTGGTTTTGAACTCCTGACCTTGAGCAATCCGCGGGCCTCGGCCTCCCAAGAGCTAGGATTATAGGCGTGAGCCACCGTGCCCATCCTGAAATTTTCAAGGAAGGAAATGTCACTATGTAACCAACCCAGGAAAGCACTGAAGAAATAATATGTAGAAAAAAGTTCCCCATAGGAAAAAATGTACAGAAGCTCTTAAATCAACAATATTTTAACTTAACATCTTTGCAGTAAATCTCAGGGATAGTTATGGAATAGAAAACGTAATGGAAATAATAACATTTGTAGTAGTAAACCAGAGGTAAGGGAAGGACATGCTTTCTTAAGTTGTAATTTATAGACATTAGAAAGTTCACACAGTAAGAAGCCCTATAAAGGTAATAAGAGTTTTGTCAAGGTTTAGATTTCACATTCATTAACATGCACTTGAAGAGAGAAATGTCTTAAATGTGAGGAGCAGGTGACAGCTTCAGCAGTACAAGCTCATATTTTGTGTTAGGCCAAGAGTTCATACAGAAATTACTTTGAATTTTTCACTAATAATCTTTTTGTTTTGTTTTTTTTTTTTGTTTTGTTTTTGAGACAGAGTCTCATTCTTTGCCTGGGCTAGAGTGCCCTGGCGGTCAGGCCTAGCTCACAGGCAACTCAGAACTCCTGGGGCTGCAAGGGAGTGTCCTCCTGCCCTCAGCCTCGCCAGTTGCTGGACTAGCAGGCATGTGCCACGCGATGCCTGGCTACCTTTTTTCGTGATGTAGTTTTTAAGTGCGAATTAAGTTGTTTCTATTTCAGTAGGACAGGGCGGGTCTCACTCTGCTCAGGGCTGTTTCGAACTGTGCCTGAGCCCTTGAGCGGGGATCTGCCTGCCTCGCAGCGCCTGCCGTAGGAGTGCGGTAGGCATTACAGGTGGAGCCACCGGCGGCCCTCCGTGCGCTGTGGCTGGAAAGCAGTGTTGTAAAACCGAAAGCTAAATGTTCTGATAAGCGACTTGATGAGAGTCAGGGTGTATCCTGAATCACAATGGTAGGAATTTTTACTTTGCGTTTCGGAATTCTTCCCTGACAGTTAAAATCGGAAGCAGATGTGTGATAGAATGACATTTGATATCGAGCAAGTAAAGTAGGTAGCTTGATCTGCTCAGATAGGGTATTAGGTAACAGGAAACAAAAAAAGAAAAGACGTGTTTTCAAAGATTTTTTTTTTGTTTGTTGTTGTCCTTGTTGTGTTGTTTTTTTTCGAGACAGAGTCTGTGCGTTTGTGTGTGGCCCAGGGCTAGTCGTGAGTGCGCATGGCAGTCGAGCGCTAGCGTCGACGATAGCAACCTGTGCAAACGTCCTGGGCTCAGAAGGGATCGGCTTCGGTTGTCTCAGCCCGTCGCCGGGAGTAGCTTGCGGACTACAGGCATGCGCGCCTCACTGCGCCGGCATTTTTATATATTATATATATCAGTTGGCCAATTAGTTTCTTTCGTAGGTATATAGGAGACGGGGTTCTGCGCTCGTGTGCTCAGGCTGGTTTTAAACTCCTGACCTTGGCAATGCCGCCCGCCTCGGCCTCCCAGAGAGCTAGGATTACAGGCGTGAGCCACCGCGCCCGGCCTCAAAGATTTTTTTTAATTATAAAAAATTTAAATCCTAACAAAATTAAAAAATCACCCCCAGGCCTAAGAGTTACCTATGAAACTGTTCACAATTATAAACAAGTCATGCAGCAAAAATCTGGTCTTACATTGGTTATTTAGAACTTAGAATATATTCCACAGATGTAGCCAATCAAAAAAAAAAAAAAAAGAAAAGAAAAGAATATAGTCTCCTACTTGTAAGTGTGGTTTATAAAAGCCTATTTGCCTATTTATTAAACATTCATTTCAGCGTAAATTTCAATAATGTGTAAGTTAAAACAGGCTTTAACAGGATAATCTCATTACAACTTAGTTCAAAATCCAACTGACATTTTATAAAACCTTATTTAATGCAATAAAATATTACTTGATTTCATTAGCATAGTGAGTGGAAATAGTGAAAATAAAGTTCCTGTGGAGTCTACCTTGAGGCGAAGTCAGAACTACACGAACTATCCGGCAAGCTTCTCTTGGCAGCATTCAAGACAGGCATTGATGGCATGTCTGCCGCAGGTTCAGCTAGAATAAAAGATAAAAAGCTAAAACCTGAAAATGACATGTTTAACATGTTTATAATATTATCTCAAGAGCTATGGACAATAAATAAATGTTTAAAATTGAATCTCTATTTCTCTTACTGCTTCTAGAGAAATCATACCATAAAGCTTCTTAAATAATTTTCAAAGTGTTAAATTTTCTTTAAACTCTTCTTGAAGTATCCTGACTTAAAAAATTCATTTGATTAAGGATGATTAGGGGGAAAAGGCCTAACATAAAATACAGATATTCAAAATAAAAATAAATTTAAGTGTTTATTTTGTGAAAGCTTTCACAGAAATTCAGATATATATGGTCATCTTTGCTTCTTTATGAAATAGCTGGTATTTTGGTAATCAGTTAAAGAAAGATAAAATTTCATTAGAGAATTAGAAAATAATTAAACCCACTGGTATAGTTTACATTTTTATAAGTAACTCTGGGGGAAGACTCAATTTCCTTTTTGACTTTGAGATCTAATGCAACAGCTATTGGCATTTTGAATAGTGGGCTTTACAGCTAAAATCACAGAAAGCAATGTATGTTAAAATCTTATGTTAACTGTAAAAAATTATACAAATATTGGTTATGATCATTACTAAAGATATCTGACTTTACTTAATGGCCCAGGGAAGGACCTCAATTCTTTTTTTTTTTTTTTCTTTTTATTTCGGCATATTATGGGGGTACAGATTTTAAGGTTTCAATAAATGCCCATTTCCCCCCCTCCCCCAAAAGTCTGAGTTCCATCATGACCATCCCTAGATGGTGCACATCTCACTCATTATGTATGTATATACTCGCCCCTCCCCCCTCCCACCTGCCCAATACCCTATACTGTAGTACCTATTGTGTCCACTTAGGTGCTACTCAGTTAATACCAGTTTGCTGGAGAATATATCTGATGCTTGTTTTTCCATTCTTGGGATACTTCACTTAGTAGTATGGGTTCCAGCTCTAACCAGGAAAATATAAGATGTGCTATATCACCATTGTTTCTTAGAGCTGAATAGTACTCCATGGTATACATATACCATTTTATTAATCCATTCTTGGATTGATGGGCACTTGGGCTGTTTCCACAGCCTTGGCAATTATGAATTGTGCTGCTATAAACATTCGAGTGCAAGTGTCTTTTTTGTAGAGTGTCATTGGATCATTTGGGTAGATGCCCAGCAATGGGATTGCTGGATCAAATGGTAGATTCACTTGTATCGCTTTAAGGTATCTCCATATTGCTTTCCACAGAGGTTGAACTAGTTTGCAGTCCCACCAGCAGTGTAGAAGTGTTCCTCTCTCTCCGCAACCAGCATTTATTGTTTGGAGATTTTTTTGATAAAGGCCATTCTCACTGGGGTTAAGTGATATCTCATTGTGGTTTTGATTTGGATTTCCCTGATGATTAGAGATGTTGAGCATTTCTTCATATGTTTGTTGGCCATTCCTCTGTCTTCTTTAGAAAAATTTCTGTTCAAGTCCTTTGCCCACTTTTTAATGGGGTTATTTGATTTTTTCTTCCTAATTTTTTGAGTTCTAAGTATATTCTAGTTATCAGTCCCTTTTTGGATGCAAAAATTTTCTCCCATTCTGTAGGTTGTCTGTTTACTTTCATGACTATTTCTTTGGCTGTGCAGAAGCTTTGTAGTTTGATCATGTCCCATAGGACCTCAATTCTTTAAAGGTATTCTTTGATGTATTATGGCTCAATATTCAGAATCTGCCTTAAGCAGCTTAGAGATACTAGAACGGACTAAATCCTCAATAAATTTCACAGATTTTTGCCTGAGTTACAGTGGGCTGCCTGGAGTAAGTTCATTGTACGCACTGGAATATGCTTCCCCCTTAGGTATAAATTTTTTCCTTATCTCCTTCTTTTTTGGGGGGTGGGGGTGGGGGTAGAGGTAATGGTAGTGGTTAAAAAATAACAAACTTGGGGGAGCAAAGGAAAGCCGGTAAGTAGTTGGGACACACAATAATCATGTTTTGTGTTGTGTGGGGCAGCCAGTGGTAGCACGAAAGATCTGGTCCTATAAGTTATGCTGGAAAAAAGTTCTTTAGTGGGGCTAAACTTATAATTTAGGTTTTATAATAGAAGCCAATAGAAATTTTGTTTTTGCTATGTGAAATTCTGCTTCAGAGACAATTTAGGTAGATTTAAGTAAATTTTTTGTTTTTTATTATCTAGGGATCTTTTTATAGTAACCTCCCTGGTATTGGTTTTATTCTCATTAATGTACAATCAATAAATCATGATCTTACAATAATCACAAAACCTACTAGATTTAAAAATATATACACAAACATTGTTATGGTTTAATGGTAAACTCAAGCTGTAGGTTAAGGCCAAACTATAATTTGAGTATATTCTGGATAACATAATGTTAAAAATGAATCATCTAAAAGGGAATAAAAGCATGGCACATGGGGTAAAAGATGAAAAGAGAAGAAAATGGGCCATGTTTCTAAAAGTTCCATACCATAAGACTTCAAATTCAGAGCCATTCTCTCCATTTTCTTTCTCTCCTTTATAACCATCTTAATCATCTGTTTCTCACTGAGAATTTAGTGGCTTTAAGTATTACAATACTGTACTCAGAATCTATCAAGGCTAATAGCCAAAATCTAAAAAATAATAGGCTGCTCTCTAAAAGCATAACCAGGTGAGCTTATATAAACTTTCTGTTTTTTTCTGTTTATAGGAACATTTAATATTAAAAAAAGATTGATTACCTCCTTGTGGATGAACAACACGAGGCTGTACAAATGATGGCTTCACAACTTCAAACCACCAGAAGAGTTCTGCCATGAACACCAAATAATTACTCTATATAAGAAAGTTAAGAAAATTAAAAGAAAACCTAAATTAGGTAAAACTTAATAATAAATAGAATTTTATTCTGTTTTAAGTATAGGCCTAAATCTCATTCAATCACTGGAGTATATCTACTACAGGCTGTTAAGCCTGCAATAAATATTTGCTCCTGTGAGTAAAAAATATAAGAACTGTTCAAAACCTCTTTGCTGATGATTTGCTCTATAGTTCTGGAATGGGGGTTCAATTTATCTAGCAAGCATTAATACCTATAAATGTGTAGAACTTTGAGATAATATTTAAGGTACTTTGATTCCAAATTAAATACAAACAACTTAAACAGCTATTCAATTCTTCGACACTCTAAAGAGTGGTTATCATTTTAAAAAAATAAGCTCTATTCAGATCCCTAAAAATTTCTCCAAAAATTAAGTGTACATAGTTAAATTATACACATTAAGTATATAGTTAAAATATATTTTATGTATGTGCCCAATAATGCTAAACTCAACAGTAATCCAGGTGCTAAATAACACCAAAACTCTATAGATTGTTATAGCTAATTCTTAATAATTTTGAAATATACAAAAACATTATTTATATAATTTAATGCATCTACCTAATTTTGAAAAGTTATTAATAAGGATCAATCAACAATATTACCTTTTATTATACTTTAAAGTGCTAATAATACATACATCATAAAGGCTGTAAACATAAAGAATTACTTTAATTTTAAGCATCTGGTAAGTTTTTAAAAATAATACTATATAAAACCTGTTTTCATAATTATTTAAAATAACAGTATGCATTCTAAATTTTGGGTATTTGGCATTTAATAAAATAGTTATCAAATTTATTAGTATTTAATGAATGAGGTCTTATTTCATATTAAATTTTAAAATTATCACTAGAAATATGAATGTTTTCCAATGTCTTGCCTTCTTCCTCCTCCCTACTAATTATGAATAATCCTCAAAGCTCTATACATTCTCCCTCAGAGTTCATGTATTCTCTTGGTTTTGTTTATCATATTTAAGCTGGTGACTCTCAAACATTGATCTCTTAGCTGACAGTTCCAGAATGCTATTGTATATGTAGGAAGTTGCAGGATAGAGAAAAATCAAGGGTGACTTTTAGGTTTTTGTCTTGAGCAACTGATAGTGAGATAGAGAAGACTGAGAGAAATAGGCAGTGAATGGAATCATGACTTACTGTATCTGAGATGTTCATTAGACATTTAAGTGGACCTGTCATGTAGGTGGTTGAGCGTAAGAGTCAGAGTGGTGAATAGAATTTGGTATGTTTTCTACTTTACTTTCAGCATTTGCTTTTTACTATAAATTCCCAGAATATTCAAATAGTGATATACTAACATATACTATTAATATTTAAAGCAGCCATTAAAATTTGTGATTTTAGGCCAGGCGCGGTGGCTCACGCCTGTAATCCTAGCACTCTGGGAGGCCGAGGCGCGCGGATTGCTCGAGGTCAGGAGTTCGAAACCAGCCTGAGCAAGAGCTAGACCTCGTCTCTACTATAAATAAAAAGGAAATTAATTGGCCAACTAATATACATAGAAAAAATTAGCTGGGCATGGTGGTGCATGCCTGTCGTCCCAGCTATTCGAGAGGCTGAGGCAGAAGGATCACTTGAGCCCAGGAGTTTGAGGTTGCTGTGAGCTATGCTGACGCCATGGCACTCACTCTAGCCTACGCAACAAAGTGAGACTCTGTCTCAAAAAAAAAAAAAAATTTGTGATTTTTTTTTTTTTAAGTAATGGGAATGCTTATAATCTCTAAGGGTTACGTACTGGATCTCACCCCTGCTTGCCTCCTCAGAAGCTTCACATTCTTAACTCCCTTTTTCTCTCCTATATATTTGTCCTTCCCTTCTCAACTGAATCCTTCCTACGTGGCTTTGAAACATGCTCAAACTTCTCCCATTAAAAAAATGAAACAAACCTTCACTCATCTCATGATTCTACAATTTCTCCTCACCCCTACCCTTATTTACTCTTCATAAACTTCTTTCAAGAGCAAGCCTCTACCAACACTCTCTATTTCATCCCTTTTACTCCCCAAGCCACCCCAGTGTGGCATGGAGCCACACTATTTCTCCAAAACAGGATTTGCTCAAGTCACCAATGACTTACATGTGCTCCCAATTCAAACACACTTCGCGTCTTATTTGACCTCTCAGCAGCATTTGATATTCCTGATCTCTCCCCTTTAAACACTTCCATGCCTATGCCCATCAGCTACTAAATGACTCTCAAATGTATTTATATATGCAATGGCTTATAGAGCATTTTGCTTTGGATATCTCAAAAGCATTGTGTCCAAAACTGAAATAACCATCTTCCCAACAAATCTGATCTTATTCCAGAGTTATGTCTCACTGAATGGCACCACTATGCCAGTATGCAAACCAGAAACCTGGGGGTCATCCTTGATGCCTCCTTTTCTCTCCCTTCCTGTATCCAATTCATTACTGAAGCCTACAGATTTTGCATCTCGAATATTTCTAGAACCTACCCACTTCTCTCCATCTTCATCATAACTGTTCTGATTCAACCATTTTCATATCTTGTTTGGAACATAATAGCTTTTTCTTTGGCTTATTAAGAACAAACTTTTCAAAATGCAGCCCCTTATGCTCCCCCTTTTCATTGCTCTTGAGATAAAGGGGAAATTTACTATGGCCTAGAAGAGGCAACTTGATGGAGTCCCTTTTTCTCTCTTCAGCTTCATCTAATAACGCATTCTCTCCAGGGTTCCTCATCTTACCTGCCACACCATAAGGTCTAGAAAAACAAAGCTTATGCGCATCATTGTATCTTCAGTGTTGAAGACCATTCCTGGCACAAAATGGATGCTCAAAAAAAATAATAATTTGAATGAATGTACAAATGAATCAATCTATACATAACAAAAAAGATGTCAGTAAAACATCAAAATGTTGATAGGGAATATTTCTGGGTAATAAGATTATTGTGATTTATATTTTTTCTTTATATATTTTTTAATATTTTTCTTTATACTTATCTTTATAGTACACCCTCTAAAGCCAAAGTATAAAATTATTTCTTAAGTAGTGGTGCTAGATTCCACTCTACTAGTACCGTTAATCTTTTGGAAAAACACTGCTTAAGTGTTCAATAATGAGTTAATATTGTAAGAACTCTGGTGAGATAACTGTCCTAGTAACATAACTGTACTGTGTTTGGCCACAAGATGTCAGTACAGTAAGAAATAATTTTCCCAGTGACCAAAGCTCATTATTTCTTTCTGAATTCATGATGATTAAACAGCAATAAATTTGTAACCATATTTCAGAAGTGATACCAAATCAATTTCATTTGAAAGCTTCTTCTTTCCTTCTTTTTGTTAAGCTACATATTAACATTGTAAAATAATATAAATACAGAAGGATAATAGATATACAGAATATAGAATAAAAAGTAAAAATATGTCTTAATCTCTTTCCCCCAAATCCTAATGCAACACTCAAAATAAACCACTGTTAACAGTTTTGTGTGTATCCCTCTATAGAACCTTTTCTGTGCATCTATTAATATACACGTGTACAAGTTTGTATACAAACAGCAGAAAAAGAACTTTTTAAAAATATATAAATTACATCATGCTATACATTATGTTTGTTGCTTGGTTTCTCCACTTAACGTCTTGGAGAGCTTTCTATATCAGTAAAAATACCTTACCTCCTTCCTTTAAACAGTTTGACTACCTTACAAAACATTTTAATTATGCCCCTATTAAGATGGATTGTTTCCAACTTTTCACCACCACAAACAATCCTTATACATGCCTTATGTGGATTTTAAATGTGGTTAATGTCAGACTACCCTCTAAAATGGCCATACCAGTATATACCTCTACCAAGAGGGGAAGATAGTGCTCATTCCCTACACTTCCATAAACACTTGTTTTTAAAGTTAAAGTGAAGGCTGGGCGCGGTGGCTCAAGCCTGTAGTCCTAGCACTCTGGGAGGCCGAGGCAGGCGGATTGCTCAAGGTCAGGAGTTAGAAACCAGCCTCAGCAAGAGCGAGACCCCGTCTCTACTATAAATAGAAATAAATTAATTGGCCAACTAATATATATAGAAAAAATTAGCCGGGCATGGTGGCACATGCCTGTAGTCCCAGCTACTTGGGAGGCTGAGGCAGGAGGAACCCTTGAGGCCAGGAGTTCAAGACTAACCTGAGCAACATAGTGAGACTCTATTTAAAAGAAAAATAGAAAAATTAGCCGGGCATGGTGGCGCAAGCCTGTAGTCCTAGCACTCTGGGAGGCCGAGGCAGGCGGATTGCTCAAGGTCAGGAGTTAGAAACCAGCCTCAGCAAGAGCGAGACCCCGTCTCTACTATAAATAGAAATAAATTAACCAAACAACTAAAAGTATATATAAATAAAAAATTAGCTAGGCACGGCGGCTCACTCCTGTAATCCTAGCACTTTGGGAGGCTGAGGCAGGAGGAACCCTTGAGGCCAGGAGTTCAAGACTAACCTGAGCAACATAGTGAGACTCTATTTAAAAGAAAAAATTTTTACAAAAATTAGGCGGGCTCACGCCTGTAATCCTAGCAATCTGGGAGGCTGAGGCAGGAGGAACCCTTGAGGCCAGGAGTTCAAGACTAACCTGAGCAACATAGTGAGACTCTATTTAAAAGAAAAAAAAAAAAAAGAAAGAAACAATAGCAAGGTGTAAACCTTCAAAATTAATCAAGATTTTTATTTTGATGTGTTAGTCATAAGGGAGTGGATACTGTATTGAGTCAGTAGGAGTAGTGGCTTCTTTTGGAAATGCCTTTACCATTGGCTTTATCTTTTTTTTGAGACAGAGTCTCGCTTTGTTGCCCAGGCTAGAGTGAGTGCCGTGGCATCAGCCTAGCTCACAGCAACCTCAATCTCCTGGGCTCAATCCTTTTTTTTGAGACATGAGTCCACTTGTGCCAGGCTAAGGAGGTGCGGGCATCAGCCTACTCACAGC